CCTTTGTTTTTTTGTTTTTTCCTTTTTTTGCATGCGAGTTTACATGAAATTTACAGGCAACGGAGAGCTTGTTACGTGCTCGCCCACGGAGAGCTCCGAGCTTTTCCACGCGGTGTTGGGTGGGCTGGGCCAGTTCGGCATCATAACCAGAGCGAGAATCACGCTCCAAAAAGCCCCCGAGAAGGTATGAACTTGTTCGGCTAGCTAGCTTTCGGACCCCGGCCCCTACATCGGGACCTGATGACCGACCGACCTTTGGCGATTTTTCAGGTGAAGTGGGTGAGGGCCTTCTACGACGACTTCGACAAATTTTCCGAGGACCAGGAGCTGCTGATCTCAATGCCAGAGGAGGTGGACTACGTCGAGGGCTTCGTCGTCCTGAACGAGCAGTCTCTCCACAGCTCCTCCGTCGCCTTCCCTTCTCAACTCGACTTCGTCGCCGTGCTCGAGAGGGACGCCTCCAGGGTTTACTACTGCATCGAGTTTGCGGTGCATGACTACCAACAAGGGCTCAAGCCGAGCAATGTAGATCAGGTAAGAACACAAGCTAGCTCATTGCAGGTCTAGTGATTATCATGTTGAGGAATTTATGGTTGTAACTATGGTTTTATTTTATTTATTTTTCCAATTTCTTTGATCAGGTAGTGGAGGAGGTTTCGAGGAAAATGAGCTACATGCCTCGTTATTTTTACAGCGCAGAGGTTTCCTACTTTGATTTCATCAACAGGGTGACGATGGAGGAGTTGAGCCTGAGGAGGAGAGGGTTATGGGATGTACCCCACCCTTGGCTGAATCTGTTTGTGCCTAAATCAGGGATAACCAAGTTCAAGGATTTGCTCTTGGGGAGCATCTCACCAAAGGAATTTGAGGGCCCTCTCCTAATTTACCCCCTCCTAAGAGACAAGTAAGCAATCACAATCTCTCTGGCATCTTCCATAGCAATATTATAACATGATTCACTCTTACGGAGCTACTCCACGGTGCAACGACGACGCCCAATTCATTTATATTCCTTTCAAGGTTACAAAGGAAAAAAAGATAAAAAGAGGACACCCTCTCTTGATTAAGATACTCTCCAAGAATTCTCACAAACTCTTTCTCAAGATCTCTCAATGATATTACTTATATCTGTATCTTTCTCTTTCTTTCTCTCCGCTACTGAGATGATTTACAAATCAAACTTAGGGGAGTATTTATAAGTTTTTCTCACGGGGATAGGTGAACACTGTAGCAGGAGTAGGTGAGAAGGCTATCCACGCAGCCTCAGTGCAGAACGAAACTGGTTTAGGTCAAAACTGGTTCAATGGAAGAGTCCACAAACTGACCCTAATAGTGTGCTAAGATTACTCGTAACTAACCCTCCAATTTCACCTTTTTTTGGATAGTGACACGACGTCCCCAATTTTGTAACCTCGTCATAAAAGATTAAAAGATGCTTTCTTTGTCAATACATGCAAGTATAATAATTTTTTGGAATAATAATAGATTTGGTGTGTCAGCGGGGCTGGTTCACAAGGGGATGCTTCTTGGAAATTAATAACAATTACTTCTGTCCATAAATATGACAAAAAGGTTCAGAAAAAAAATATATATATATATTTAAAAAATGAAGGAAATAAAACTCTTCCCTAGACCATGTATATCTTAGGTAGTGCCTCTGTTAGGCTGTCATGCTTGGCTTTATCCTGCAAGCTGCAGGAGCAGTTGAAAACAGTTGATCTCTCTTTAAAGCACAGTACAGCCACTTCATTATATTTGTTTCCTTCTCTCTCTCTCTCTCTCTCAATGCTCTCTGCTTTTTGTCTCCAGGGGCAGAGGCCTTTCTAATATTCTCTTTCCTCTTCAAGAGGATATGTTGAAGTAGAAGGAATTTTTAAAATAGTCCCAACCCAACTTTTTTTTAAAATAAATCTTCTTTCATTTTTTATTAAAAAACAGTTTCTGGTCATGTCAGTACCGTGGTCAAAAAGTAAATCTATTTTTTTTAAACACCTTCAACACCGACTAATTTGCAAGCTGCAACTAAGGTCTACTAATTAGGAAGGTGTTTAAAAAAATAGACCCACTTTCTGGCCACGGTACTGACGTGACCAGAAAGTGAGTCTGTTTCTGTACTAAAAACATAAGAGGGTCGATTTTTAGAAAAAAAAATTGATTTGGGGCTATTTTAAAAAATTCTTC